TTATAAAAAAGAAAAAATAAAGATAGGAGTTGTTTGGATCCAGATAAAAAAAGTTGAAAAGAAATGCAAGTTTAAAACAAGAATAAATAACTAATCCTTTTTTATAAAAATCAAATTGATAACAATTATAATAATACTTTTGATAGTTTCTATTTATAACATAGTTAATATTTGTATTAATAGTTAGTTTTGTATTTTAAAATAAAAGTCAATAGGAAAAAAAAATTCAAAAAGAATATATAAAAAATAGTTAAATTAGAAAATTAATCTCTTTAAGTATTAATTATAGAACTAATAAAGAAAAAACATATAAATTTAAAATTCATTAAAGTTAAAATATACTTTAATAATTTTTATAAAAGAAGTAAATACTTTAGCTAAAAAAGTCTTAAAACTTTTATCAATTATATAAAAAGACCTTATCTTACATAAGATTATTACAAAAATTAAATAGTAAGATAAGATTTTAGATAATTCAATTAGATAATTTGATAAGAATATTAATAATAAAATAATATTCTATCAATAAATATAACAAAATAAAACTAAAAAAAACGAAGTTATTAAATTTTAAAATATAAAGTCTATATATAGATCTAATATAAAAAAGAATAAAAGATGAATTTATATAATTATTCTTTAAAAAATCTTAACAAAGAAGCTTTTTTATCAAACTAATCAATAATAAGGAACTAATGTTAAGTAAATTTGCTTTAAGAAGATCTAATCTATACAAGTAAATGAAATGTATTGCATGTAGTTAACAAAAAGAAATCATAGAACACTTGCTAGAATATTTAGTATATAATAATCAACTACAAGTTGTATAAAATAAAGAAGTCAATGAAATCCTTAAAAACTTTAAAAAATTTTTATAAGAAAAAAAAATAAAAGCTGAAAAGAAAAGTTTATATTAATTATCAATAATTGAAAAGAACAAGGAAAGCTTAAAAAGTGGATTTCTAAATTAGTGAAACAAACTTCTAAAACTAATTAAGGTACTTTAAGTTTTTGTATTGATTTTATAAGAAAAAATCTTATTCTAAAAATAGCAGACCTAAAATATTATAAAAATGTATAGAAAGAGAAACAAGAAAATGAATATTAAAGATGTAAAAAAAGTTTACAATTAAGTTTGAAAAAGAATTTGAAACAAAAGATATAAAAAAATAATAATAAAAAACAAATATAAGGAATCTGCAAAATGGACAAGACAAAAAGACTTCATGCTCTTTAGGCAGAAAATTATATTCTCAAAAAAAAAGAGAACTATTATCAGAAAAAGAAAATTTAGAAGATAAAAGCCTTAAAAAATTTTTAAAAAAAGAGTGAAGTATAAAATGAAGTAATTGGATTTTGAGCCCTATTAGAATATCTATGGATGATTTGCAATAATGACTTATAGACTATAAAGTTAACAGGTCTTTATCTGAAGTACTAACAAAACAATAAATTACTTTTAAAGTTATACTTAAAGTTTTGATAAATTTCAAAATAGAAATGAGTGAGTTAGGTAGAGATTTAACTTTAGTGATATATTTTGCAATATAAAATATACATATGTTTAATAAAGCACATATATTATAATTAACCTAATAGAATTTTTTTTTTAAAAAAAATTTTTTATACAATCTAATGTTTTAATTATTTTTTAATGAATGCAAACTTGTGTTATGAATAGTATTAATATTTATTTTTATAAATAATCAAATTTATTGCTATAAAATTTAAATATAATTTTATAAATTATGATAAGTGATTAAAAACTACTAAATTATAATAGTTAAAACAAGAATTTTAAATAAATAATATATAAAATACCAAGCAATTTTATAATATTATTTGTTTAAAACAAAATGCAGATTTAAAAAGTTGATTATATAAAAAGTTCAATTACTAATGGAAATCAAATCTATAACGGAATATAATAAGTGAATCTTAATTTGAAAATTCTGTAAATTCTTTACAAAAGACTACAGCAATTTGCGTAACTACGAGTATTGACTATCCCCTGTTTGTTTCATTCTCGCCACTTGCAACATTCGAGACTTCTTGATCAACATTCTTTGTACCGGTTGTATCTCCACTATTTTCGGCATCCCTAATTTTATTGCTATCATTCTTTTCATTTTCCTCGTAGTTTGATTCTTTTATTCCTACCACTACTGCAAACGTACATGGTAACGAAATTGTCAAAAGCGACCAACATATAATCAACTGTAACAAAAACCCAGAATTAACAGCATCTATTCTCCAACTCACGGCCGCTCCTGCTGATTGAACGGCCTTATAATACCTTGAGTGAGAATAAGATTGTTAGCGATAGTAGTCGATTTTGGTGAGGTGAAATTTATGAATCTCATTTACCCTGCATATCTTGCTAATATAGCTGCATCATTAGTAAGAGCTCCCATGATCCAATATGCATAAACCTGTATTTTTCGAATAAATAAACGATTCGATTAAATCGCACAAACGACAGCGAATCGAATAACAATTTACATACTTGGTACATTGCATCATTCGCTCCATAAAGAATGTATAGTATTAATCTTTGTGCATATCCATGATCGTACAGATCCATCTGAGTGATGGTATCCCCACGTTTATAAGTTAATTGGAAAGCCAGACCACCACCCCATACTGCCGTTATCGCGATTGCCAGGATCAACAATCCTAGAAGTCCGCGCATCTTTCTCCCGAGCGATTGCATATCAAGAAATTTACCAAAGGCAGCAGCTCCAATAATTTGTGCGGCCCAGTACCACAGATTGTTGAAAGCTCGTGTGCGAATGTTGAAATAGAAAGCATTTATGTCGTTAAACTTGCGTGATTAAAAATAGGAAACTTAGCAAGTCATGAACATGCAGAAACGAAAGGCAAGCATAAAATCCTTGAAAATTCAAAATACCTGATATGCGTAAAACCAATTGCTTGCAACAAACATTGGCGTGAGAAGAAGAATTTTCCAATTAAGAAACAGTTTAAAAACTTCAATTAATTCAGTTTTCCATTTTGGATATTTTTGTATAATGATATGTTGCCCATTGTCGTGGTATACTTTGCTTGGTGGAAGCAGGACTAAAGCCAACAAAACTCCAGATCCCATGAGAACCATAAATCCAATGTAAGTCCCATCATTTACGGAACCTGCGTCGGAGTTCCAGTTTAGAGCTATTGGAATTATTGCACCCAATACACCACCTTTCCCAAAGCGAAAGAAATGCAGTAATTTGATAAGAATATATTCTCTCTAAAAAATAGTGTCACCTAAAATGAATTGCAAAATTACCCAAGTTGAAAATCATCCAGAAGAGGCCAATGTATCTTCCTTTTTCTTCTTCAAAAGGATATGACAACATGATCGCGCCTTGACCCGTCCAAAGAATGGCAGCACCTAGTAGAATCTTTATTAGTTTAATGTTTATATAAATAACATTTAATAACTGTTATCTTACCCAGACCGAGTATGGCACCAGCAAATACCGTGAAAAATTCCCCGCGTGTATGATTATAATATAACAGCGATCCAGAATATAGAGCATAAGTAGCACCGCCAAGAGCCATGGAAATCGAAGGACCGAATTTATTAACAAAAGGACCAGCTAGCAATCCACCTACAGAGAATGTAGTATACAATGCTACATTTCCATTTGATGCAACTCGGGTATCTAATTGGCCTCCTCCTCCCAAACCTAGGTGTGCAATTGGATCAGAATTTGTTCGGTATATTATTTTATAAATTATTATAATCTTCTAACAAACCATTCAAGGCATTAAACATGCCGGAAGTCAGAAAACAAATGACTCCTTCAATGTCAAAAAAATATTATGACGATGAGCCAAGACATCTAGTTAATATTGGCAACGCGGCAAAAAAATCAGGATTGTTATACTATTTACTTACCGACAATTACCACTTGAATTAAAGGACTTGAATATCGAAAAACCATTTTGAACTTGAGATACAAATCCAAGGATTTAATCGAAAAATTTTTTTATTAACCGATAAGAATACAGATGCCTTTCTGAACGAAAAAGCAAAAAATGAAAAAATGGAGGCCTTAATTTTATGAGAATCGCATGCCATTCACAATAAGTGTGAGAAATGGTAAGGTTCAAAATTGGATAAATTAGAGTATATGAGAACAAAATTTAAAACATTAGTAGCAACCCTTTTTTCATACTCATTCAGAGAAAACTCCTTATCAGCGTAACACATGAAGTGTCAAGTGAGCCTTTCGTGCCTATAGGAACCCCCACAATTATTAAATTCCACTAACTATATTACATAGCTGAATGAATAGAAATATAATTATTATTCGTCGAGAAATTATTTATAGCAATCCATGAACCAATATTGTTTTCATAATTTCGGAGAATTTCAAACACTTTGGTTATAATCGGCTAGACTTGTAACGCAAAGTGATGATTGAATTCTCTAATACATGTTTTTATGATAGCTTTAACTACGGTCCTGTTCATTTATGTAATTCTTTTAAGAAATGACCGAGACACAATAAATTATAATACTTTATTTGCTTTCATTATTACATATCGGTCAACCAATCCTTCCTATTTTGAATAAAGTTAACTGGCATGCTGGATTTCTGGAGATCTAAAAAAAATGAGATACTCCATCCTTAACTAAAATCGTGACCCATACTACTGTACATATTTTGATCAACAATGTATTCTAAAAGAAAAAGGGAGACACTTTATGCATTTTATTAAAAAATATTTGATAAATAGATCGATGCTATTGGTGTGTCGCAGTCCGAATGTCAGGAGAAAATGCGTCGATCAATTTGATTATTGCGAATATGATATTTTCTTTACTGGGCAAAAGAAATATATCTATCATTGTATTCTATGCAGTAGGGCACCTGAATTCAAATCTTTACACAGTTGTAACTTGTTAAATATAATATAATGAAACGAATAATTTTGCATATATAATTATTAAATATAATAAAACACCTTACTATTAAATAAATTTATACGAACTGATTTTTTTTAATCATTTTTTTTAATAAAAATTTTAATAATAATTTATAAAAATTTTTTATATAGTTCTTTACTATTTTATATATTTCTTCTTAACTATAGTTATATTTTTTAATTATTTTATTACATTCTTAATTAATAATATTTTTTAAAAAATATTAATTCGATCTTGTTTTATTTGAAATTATATAATATCAATACTTAAAAAACTACTTTAAGATATACTACTTGTTTATTATCAAATAGAGTTGACCTTCTATAAGAGATACTTATTTTGTGATTTGCTATTACTTCTCTATTAGAAACCAATCTATCAAGATTGGATTAATACTAAAAATTTTTTGAATATATAGAAACTATCTATAATATTTATGATCCAACAGTTCATAAATTTGTTAATCAAGTATATATATTAGTTTTTTATATATTTTTCTCTTAAAATAAGAAAAAAGTTTTCTTTAATTTTATATTTTACTAATTTCTTTTTTTTTTCTTATAATCACTGTTTTAGCTTTTTATTCTTGAAAGACTTAATATTTTTTTTAATAGAT